TCGATCTGCATGTGACATCCGTGACATGCGACAAATGAAACGGCCGGAATCAACGACTTGGCCCTATTCCCGCAAAGACAACACGCCTTGCATATACAGGCGCCACAAATAACACCGCTTCGTCAACGCAAATATTCCCCGCGTTTTCTTCAAATAGTGCAGTTTCCAGACCACCACGTATTGGAAACGGTCCAGCTCATCTAATGTGACTACTAGGACTTCGTCGTAATCTGGACCGAGGTACACCTGCATTATTTGTGTTGTTGGAACAAGAAATGTCTGGCGATGCTGCACGACCTTGAAAATTAAAGAAATTTTGTCTATATTTTATCACTAGCTTAATATGAAAGAAAATAATACGATGTTTACATGAGGCGATGTTACAGCTTTTCAACTAATCGCTTCCAATAAATATGGGGGAGCTAGCTTTCCTCATGTGAACATCGTTTAATGCAAAGATTTATGGCAATGTTTTCGTGTTGCTTCAAATCCAAATTTATATGTTTATCACAACCACCATTCTCCACATTAAAAGCCCATACCTCTACGACCATTTGTTAAATTTGTAATATCACGCGCCAGGGGTTGGAATTGGTCTATTCCGCTAATTGAGAGATTCACTGATTTTGAACCAAAGCCAAGCGTCCCTGTTTTTATTCTATCCATTGGCAAAATATTTTTCGATAGCGCCGTAGGCCGCTTAAGTCCCGATGGCTTTGGCAACTTTGAATCCATTTCAAATATTGGCGCAACTTTCCTATTCTATATATTTTATTATTTGCAACAGCGGCCACGACCAAAGAAAAAACTTGGAACAAAAATGCAATATCAAGAATTGAAGGAAAATCCGCCGTTAAATTGTACTAAAATTTAGTACGATTTGAACGAATGTTTGCAAGTAGGAAACATTCGGAAACTGCATACTAGATTAGGGATGATTATCGTTTATAAAAATTTTTAAAGGCCCTACACACGCATGGATTTATCGGTTAACCATTTGAACCGCCCCAACAAACATTTAGATTTGAGCTCAACTTAAGGTTATGTTGACAATTAAGCTCAAGTCTCCAACGTTGTTTCTCAACAATAGCTCAAGTAAAGAAGGTAAATTTATAAGGGACAACTCGTTACTTTGAAAATGTGCCGAACCGATTTTGACCGTATCTGAAACGTTTGCAACAGGAATTCATGTCCGTTACATATGTTACCGCATAACTTTGGATCACACTAACCGATTTTTATAATCATTTTTTAAAGGAATGGTGTTACGAGAGTTGTAATTTTGGATCATGGAGAAATTAACATTACTTTTAAATTTTTATATGAGAATTTAATTCGGTTTTTTTTTTTGCTTAAAAATTACTTCTTTTATTTTTTATAAAAATATGTTTCATGCTTTTAACAAAACCATATACATACATCAGGCAAACTTGCGAACTTAATACTAATTCGCAAAAAATGCAACAAATTTCGATCAAAATTTGTATCTGAATTCTTAGATATGCAGTGATCTGTTACCGTTAAGCTACTCAATCACTTATACCGGTTGTCAAAATTCATATGAATTGCCAGTCTAGTTTAGTTTTAAAATGCCGTCGTCAAGGAAGCAACTTAAAATTCTCGTCTCCTTCCCGTACACACATTTATAACTTCTGCAGTAATATCTTCCTGAGTATTTTTAGCTAAATTTTGAGGTACCGGAACAGAGATACTTTCTTCAGCTGTTTGAATTGACTTTCAAGTTGCTTCACGACAAACAACGTAAATCTGTGGAACATCCAAAGTCTAAGTCCAGACGGAGAAACTTTTGTTGCCGCAACTCGTTACTTTTGGGAGAAGGAGCGACGCGGAAGGGGGAAGGGCACCGAGTTGCTCGTGCTCGGGCAACACGCTTTGTGCTATCGTTGGTCCGAGTAATTCTAGTTGGCCGTTCACAGCTGGCAACAACAATTGTGTACAAAAGAATTGCTCTGTGTGAACGAGAAGGGCAACACCAAAAGAGAAATTGCCGAAAATGAGCAACAAAAGTTTCTCCGTCTGAACCTAGTCAAAACAAAGTTATTTATAAATCAATAAACCACCGTGTATGCGGTACGTAAGATGTCTGAATTCGCGCTGAATGGCTGAATATGCGAAACAGTAGGAAGAAAAATGATAAATCAAATCACTGGAATGCACTACCGGAAGTATAGGGTGATAACCCATTTTTTCTCTGGAATCTGGAATGCACTACCGGAAGTATAGGGTGGGCATTTGGTCCCAAACCGATATTGCTCCCACATATAATATCCCATTCCATGTAACTGTAATTCCATTTCCAATTAATTAAAAGAAAAACGAAAGAAAGCGCCAGAGGTATTTATAAAAATTAAAAAACGTTAAAAAATCACACAAATTAATAGACGTCCTTGAACGTTAAGAAACTTGCAAGGTAGGCAGTCGAGATTTGTAAACAAAATGTGATTATATATGTATATTATTATATTATATATTATATAGTTAAATTATATAGCTATAGTTGCTAGTTGCTTAAAAATGAGCCGTGAGCGAAAGTGCCGTGCACAAAATTGCATTAACCATAGCGAAAAAGTGTCAATCCTCAAGACTCANTAGCTATCATAGAGAAAACCGATCAAGTTTTTCCACTGTGGTTCCTGGAAGCTGGCGACTGTTTAAACCATCGCTTAAAACTTGTAGAAATTTTTATAACCAATCTTTTATTTAAAAACGCAAATTGGGCGTTGAGGGAGGAAGTTGAAAGTCAGAGGTGGGATAACATTTTGTTCGATCTTCATTGTCACGGTCCCACAAAGTTATTGAAGGTACGTTACCTCTATATATTTTTTTAAATGTTTATAATATTCTATTTTTTTTTTCAATTTACTAATAGGTCAGCTGGCAACACTAATCCACACACCGCATAAAATTTGCTTTTCATCAACGCCAACGAATACTGCAGTCACAACCACAAATTAACAAAAATTTACAATTGAATTGCGTTCAAGTTTGTATTCATATCGTTGTTATCGCGAATTAACTGCAATCGCTGTTGTCGTAATTGCTTCAAAACAATCCCAGCTGCCTTCTGTTGTGTTTCCAAAAATAAATTGTGCTCAGCTATCACCACTTGAAAATTTTTTATGCACAGAAAATGGTCATTTGTCTGAACACCTGGATAGCATGAACCAACGACTACAGATCACCTAATCAGCCATCGTTGTATTTGTAATCGATTTTTCGGTTTTGTTTACACTGTCTTCTACCTCTTCGTAGTGATTTTTTAGCGATTGAATGTGTTTTCTGCAGCGATTTTAATTATAAATTTTGGTTTATTACATATTTATGATATAAAATAAAGTGCTGTGTGATCGGAACAAGTTTGTGCGTATGTTTGGTTTGCCAAAAGGCGTAAATTTGCGTGAAAAGTGGGTGCACGTTTGTGGCCAGAACGTTGGCATTGAAAAATCGACCCGTGGTAATGATATGCGATTGTAAAACACTTTCAATCATGAAAACCATATTTTACGAACTTTTTTTGCTATTTGTCACCAAGTTTCACTTTGTATATTTTATAATAAATACCAATTTAATCGCACTCAATC